CCCAAGGTAAACAGAATGAACATACAACCCAGCTATTCCACTCCTAGGTGTAGACCCAAAGGAATTGAAAACCGGTGTTCAAACAAAAACTTGGACGTGAAAGTTCATAGCCGCATGAGTCACAGTAGCCAAAAGGTGGAAACTACCCAAGTGCCCATAAAATGGATGAATGGATGACAGCAGCAGGACCATCCGGACAGTGGGATACTAGTCAGCCCTAAGGGAGCAAAGCACTGACCACGCTGCAGCGTGGAGGAGCCTCGCAAACATTATACTTATAGTGTAGGGTTCCGTCTGGGTGAAATGTCCCGAACAGGCAAATCCAGAGACGGGAGGCAGGTTAGTGTTGCTTCGGGCTGGGGGACGGGAGGATGGGGCGTGACCGCTGGTGGGGACGTGTTGGGGTGTTGAAAATGTTCCGGAACTAAGCAGTGGGGACAGTTGCACAGCATTATGAGTGCATGAAATGACACTGAACTGTACACTTGGGCTAAAATGGTGAATTTCATGTAATTTTACCAGAAAACCCCCCCACAAATCTCCCCAGAGGATTCTTGTGAACAGGCCAGGTGGGAGCCCCCGGCTCGGAGACGGGGAGAGGCTCTCTGGCCCCCCAGACCACACGTCAACATGGATCTGGGGGTCCGGATCCAGGTGACGAACACCCTGCAGGGCTGGGTGCCCACCCGCTGCCCTGTGACTCAGCCTCCAGTCTGGCCACTGACGCCTCCCGGGTGCCTCTTCCTTTGGATGCAGTGGGTGGAGGAGGGTCAACGTTAAGACTGTGTGAAGATGCTCCCTTTCACTTTCCAGTCCAAGGTGCAGTTTTCTTTTCCTTCACCCAGAGTGGGACTCCGGATCATGACTCAGGGCACCAGCCCTTCAAAAAGAGGGAGGGGACAGCAAGGCCTGTGCCCTTGGGCTGTGTGTCACCTGGAGGCCCCCAACCTCTGCTCTGCGGCTGAGAAAAGACCCCTGCTGTTGAGCTTGGGGGTCGGGGGGTGGGGACGCCAAGGGCCTCCAGGCTCTGAGACCACCAGAACTCAGGGTGCTGGGTGTGTCCGTTTCCTGCTGCCACTATAACCAGTTACCAGGAAGCAGTGGCCTGAAACAGCACATTTATTCCCTGCAGTTCTGGAGGTTGGAAGTCCAAAATCAGTCTCGTGGGGCTAAACTTGGGGCTGGTTCCCTCCGGAGGCTCCAGGCAAGAACTGATTTCCAGGCCTTCTCCAGCTTCTGGAGGTGCCCGCATCCCTTGGCCGGGGGGCCCCTCCGCCACCTGCAGTGCACACCACCGCGCCCTCTGCTTCTGTCCGCACATCTCTGCCCTCGACCCCGCTGTGTCCCTGTTCTCGGGACGCTGTGATGGTGATTAGGGCTCACCCAGACCACCCAGGATACTCGCCCCATCTCAAGGTCTGCACTTGCTCTCATCTGCAGAGTCCCTTTGGCCAGGTGACACAGCCGTAAGTTCTGGGACGAGGGTGAGGACATATTTGGGAGCCGCCCGTCAGCCCACCGACCACACTGGGTTCCTGTCCCTGCGCTGGTGCCTGTTCCCCGCAGAGGTTAACTGTCGCCCTGAAAAGTCCACGAGCTCCTGTATCTGCAGACCTGAGGCTTTATTCCTTCAGCGTCTAGTTCACTCCACCTTTCATTTGTTAAGCGGCCTTTTGAGGGCCAAGCCAGGGCCTAGGCAAAACCCCTAAAAATTCTAAATGGTAACCATGTGTGTCATTCTGTGCGCCCCCGAGGGAATATCTTGCAGGTTCAGTTAACAGTCTTGGGCCTGTGGCTGCCTTGACAGCTGGCCCACAGGTGGTATTTGCTTATTGGGATCAAAATATGAAACTAGAAACAAGAAAATACTGTCAGGAGTGCCAGCTAGTTTCATTCGTCAAGCCCTTGTTGGGTCTCCACCCCGTCTCAGCAGGCAGTAGCCAGCGCCGGCCTCTGCTGCGCGCTTCTGGATTCCCGTGCCTTTTCCCTGTCACCTTTGCCCGCCTCCCCTCCCTGCCCAGGCTGCGCAGGCCCACTGTGCCTCTTCCCTCCTGATCCCACAGATGCCCCGAGGCCCTGGCCTCCGCCGAGGCGGGCTTGAGGTTTGTGCACTTGCCCGCCCTCCCAGTCACATGCACACTCCCTTGCTTCTGAGGGCCAAGCCAGGGCACAAAGCTGTGGCTGAGCAGGGGCTGTGAGCCCAGGCGCACGGGGCTGACCTCCTCCTCCGCACGGCACGTGAACACCTCTTGGGGAGCTTTATAGAAAACCTGGTGCCCGGCCCGTCCAGACCAGCTTCATCCGAAGCTCTGAGGGTGGGCCTGGCGCCGGCAGTTTGAAGGGTCCCTCGGGTGTTGTGCAGCCCAGGTTCAGAGCATTGTCCTAGAAGCTCAGAAGCAGGCGGAGGTAAAAACACAGGCATGTACAGATCATGGGATTTGCCCCGTGCGTATTTCAACAACAGCAGCCCTCTTCTCACTGGGTCCTCCTAAGGGCCCTGCAGGATAGACAGGGGCTGTTACCACCACTTTGCAGGGGACCCCAGTGAGGCCTGGATCTCAGTCCTAGGCACTCTGGTTGCTGAGACCACCCCAGCCCCCGACCCCTGCCCCGGTCTGTCTTCCAGAACTTTCTAAAGGGTGAGACAAAGGTTTGCGGAAATGAGCTGAGGTCACTTTCTCCCTGAAGTTCCCAGCCACTCAGGTGACCAGTACTCTGTGGCGACGGAAGGGAGGGCCCCTGGAACATCCCTTGACGGGTGCTCCCCTGGGGGGCGACGCGGGGCCGTGTGCGGGGCGCTGGGCTGAGCCCCGTGTGCCACCAGGGCTGCCCGCCCACACAGATGGGGCCCCACAGGCACCTGTCCTCCCCGGGGAAGGTGCCCTGAGACTGGGCAGAGTGCAAATCAAAGCCCCTCGGAATTAAGAAGTTTCCCCCATTGAGTGGAATTTCACAGCCCAGTGGCCAATTTCTAAGTCATGCGCGTTAATGGGCAGCTAATGAGGGACCCAGGCGGGACAGGGGTGTGCCCCGGGCGCCCAGAGCCGAGATTAAGGAGTACAAAGCCAGGCCGCTCTGAGGGCCCTTGATCTCCTTTCTCACTGCCTCGGGGTGGATGTGGGGGCAGAGAGCCATGTGAATTCCGGAGGGGTGCGCCCCAGCCCCTCACATCCTGCCGTCTGCTCACCCATTCATTCCCTCCCTTACGTGTCCGCTCCCATCCGGGCACCATCACGGTCCGGGCGGGTGCAGGAGCCAGCGTGACACTAACGGCTTTGAGATGACACACACTCGGGGCTGATTTCCGGCCCTGGCCCTGGCCAAGCGCTCACGTTTTGAGCCTCTTGCCCCACCCGCGGGAGCCCTGCGCTCTACGGACCGCGGTGACAGCCCTCGGGATTCAGAGTGAGGACGCGGGGAGCGCTTGCTGCAAGGCCTGGGTCACGGTGAGCACCGCTCACATGGTCGCAGCAGAACTGCGGCCCGTGACGCCGTCCATCTCCGGGCTCCCTTGCCCCTGGAGCCCGCGGACAGGCTGGCCACTCAGCAGATAGAGCAGAGCCCTCAAAGTATAAACGGAGCCGTTTCAGGGAGGTGGCACCGTCAGGGGCTGGAGACCACACGAACAAAGCCTTTGGTGCTGATCTCGACAGAGAAGGACTGATTGATTGGGGAGGCGTTGAACAGGTCTAACTTACAGCAGCAGTTCTCAGGAAGGGGCCCCGGACCCCCTGAGTCAGAAACGCTGGTGATGGATCCCACACTCGGTGTTTTAACATGCTCTCGGGGGGATTTGAGCCTGGGCGCCAGGAATAAACAGGTTCACCTCTGAATTCAAGATCCGACCTTCACGGGGCTGTGTTTTCCGGGTTGGGACTGTTGCCAGTATTCTGCCATCCTAGCGGGCTGTATCGGGTCGGAGAGGCAGTCTCTACTCAAAGTGTGGTCCAGGGACCGGCAGCACCCACCTCCGCGGAACTCGCGAGAAACGTGGAGTCTCGGCTCCACCCCAGGTGGGATGAATCAGCCCTTGCCTGTTAACAAGACCCCAGGTGATTCCTGTGCTCGTCTGCCTGGGGCGCCTCTCTAGGGCCTCTGCATGCGTGAGTCTACAGCCACCCCCACCCCCACCCCCCCACCGAGGGCACACGGACCCCCTTCTGCAGATGGGAAACTGGGCTCGGCCCCCCTAGCAGGTGACAGATGGGAGTAGGGGGCCTGGGAGACATCCCGGGAGGAGGCGTTGGAGGTGGTGAGATCGGTGCAGGCTCCCTGATCTCTCCCAGCTGAGCTCCCTCTAACCCTCGGGGCGGCGGGAAGGCCCCGCCCCCGGGAGTCTTAAGACTCCCGTGCTCAGGCCAGAAGTCTCAGAAGCTACGAGGTCTTGGGACGGATGGCCCTGATCTCTTGCCCGTGTCCTCCTAGGTTCGGGGACGTGACCCCAGCACGTGCTCTCTAGGGCTCCCATAATTCATGACACATTTGCCCACCCCGGTGGAGCTAGAGCCTTCCTCCCACCCCTCTGGGTCCTCTGAAGTGAGCCCGAGTCCCTGTCCCTGATGGCCCAGGACTGTCTGTCGCCTTGAAGATTAGACTTGGTGGTAAGAACCAGGGGCTGGAGCCCCTTCGCTGTGGAAGTTGGCCCGGAGGCGGGTGGGTGGGTGAGAACAGCCATGGGGAGGTAGGAGTTGGGGATTTGGAACAGAAAGGGGGTGGGAGGGCAAGAGTGCCCATAAACAAGGTTGGAAGTTGGGGGGGCAGCGTTGGTTGAGGGGAAAGGCGTGAGGACCGGAAGCTAGGGGGCAGGTGGTTGCATAACGCTTTGGAAAGGGGGGAGCAGATGCTCGGGAAGAGGGGTACAGAGGCTGGGGTGGTTGGGACAGGCGTCTTGGCTCTGGCTGGATCGAGGAGAGACGCATCCCAGCTGGAGAAGGGTGCCGTGAACTGGGAAGACGGTGCCGGGACCACCCCCTCTCTCTGCCCCTCTGCTGCTTCTAGCCATGGAGGGACAGACCCCAGGAGACAGAGGCCTTTCGGAAAAGCCGGTCCCCACGGCCGCCCGCCCCAGTCTGTCCTCACTGGGCGCTGTCTTCATTCTCCTGAAGTCTGCGCTGGGCGCCGGCCTGCTCAGCTTCCCGTGGGCCTTCCACAAGGCGGGTGGGGTGGCCCCCGCTTTCCTAGTGGAGCTGGTAAGCCCGTGGGGAGCATTTTGGGGCGGGGGGCAGGTCTCCGGGGGCAGGTAGGAGCTAAATTTTATTTTTCCAGCTAGAGCCCTGGGTGTTGCTTTTGCAGAGCTGCCTGTCTCCGAAATTACTCCTGTGGCTTTGGTTTTCCATCTCGCTCAGCTCACGAAGGGAGGAGGGAATCCCCCTGTAGACCCGGGCCAAGAGCATCCTCTGTGCGGCTGAGGGCCTCGCAGCCAGGCGGGGCATGGGGAGTGGGGGAAGTCGAGGCACGCTGGGTCCCTGCGGAGCGCTCGGCACCTGTAGCCAATGAACCTGGCCTTTCAGCTGGGGAGGCGCTGTCTCCGAGCCACGGATTGACTTCTCGTGCCTCCCGGTCTCGGCTCCCCAGCGAAAGCCCAAATCTCGTGGGCAGGTCAGGACTGAGGCCGCTGTGACGCCTCCAACCTGCACGGTGTCAGCGGTGTTTGGCCAGTTCTGCCGGCTGTGTGTGGACCCTGAACTCTCTCCCTTCCCAGAAAGTTCCAGGGCCCGACCATCCTCAGCGGGAAAGAGCTGCTGATTAGCACAGCTTCATTTTATTAGCAGTCTTTTCCTCGAGCTGATAGGAATCAGGCATTTCGTGGTAAGCTCTTTGACGGGCATCATCTCGAGTGCTTTTTTCTGGCAGCTGGCTGATAATGGCCCCATTGGTGGGCCCACGGGGCCTTTCTTGACCTTCTGGAAGCTGCCAGACCGGTGTAACCCATGCCACCCCCATGCTGGCTGAGCGCCTGTCTGGCGCCGGGTGGCTGAGACACTGTGGTCTCCGTCCTTGTGAAGCGTGTTCTAACAGGGAACTCGGACAAGATTCAAGAAGTCGAATGACACAGTGTCAGATGGTGGGCAGCATGACGGGTGGGATGACATCTGTGGGAGCGGGAGGGGGGCAGAGAAGCCCTCGCCAAGGTGGCGCTGAGCCCCAGCTTGTCCAGGTGCACGTGACGGGCAACAGAGCGGTGTTTGGATGTGTGCGGCAGAAAGGCCGCGCTTCCAGAACAGGGAGCCCGGCCTCCAGCCGCAAAGGGTCAGCGATAGAGCGGATGGGGCCCGCATGGAGGTCCGTGGTCAGGCACAGACGGACCAGTCCGAGGACACCAGGCAGGGCTGAGGCAGGGACGTGGCGCGCCGCTCCCCAGGCTCCGTGCGGGGTCTCCCGGCACCTTGCGGGAGTACGGATGCCGACTGCCCAGGTTTGGGTGGACCTGAGATCGTGCATCTCTGACAGGCTCCCGGGTAACACGGATGCTGCTGGGGTGGCTTGCCCTTTGCACAGGATGGTCTAAAGACCCCATCTTGGGCAGGCAGGCAGCCTTCAGGAGAGAGGACCCCAAATAGGAATAAGTGGAAACTCCGGACAAGGGGAGAGGTCAGGCTGGTAATTAGCAACTCCCCCATCATTTCCTGACTCGCCCCTCCTCTTAGCCAGTGAGATTTCTTCCCTGTCCCCAGTTACAAGGCCTCCCCTTGGACAAGAGGAATGTTTAAAGATGCCTGCCACTGGGAGGTCAGTGGTGTGAGGTTTTAGGTCCCTAACGGCCCCATGAGCACTGGAGGGTTAGTGAAATTAACGAGCCTGGACCCTCCTCGGCTCCAAAGAGAGGCGCGCCTGACCAGGGGCTGTAAGGGCTCTTTGCTGACTGGCTGCTAAGAGGCTCAGGGACCGTCTCGAGGGTCAGCCACTCCTGCGTGGACAGCTCGCTGCGTTAGCAGAGACACACCTTCACTCGCAGAGGCTCAGCCTGACCCCCCACCCCCCCTTCCCTTCCTTTCATCCCCAAATACCTACAAAGCACCTGCTGTGTTCTGGGTGCTTTGCTGGGGCTAAACGGTAAGCAAAAAAGACACGATCCCGGTCTCCATGGGGCTTAGAGTCTGGTGGATGAGAGAGACAGGGATCCTCACACTGTATGCACAGTTGTGAGGCTGTGGCCTCAGGCCCCTGGACCCAAGGACCACAACCTGGGCAGCGTAAAACAACAAAAGTGTATTCTCTCCCAGTCTTGGAGACCGCAAGTCCGAATTAAGGTGTCGGCAGGGTCCTTCCCGCCTCTCCAGCTCCTGGGGGCTCCAGACGTTCCTTGGCTTGTGGCCACGTCACTCCAGTCTCTGCCCCATCGGCACACGGCTTTCTCTGTCTTCTCCTCTTCTGTCTGTTATTAGGACACTTGTTGCTGGATTTAAGGCCCACTTGGCTTATCCAGAATGACCTCATCTCAAGATCCTTAATTTCACCTGCAAAGACCCTTTTCATTTAATTACATGTTCATTATTTGCATCTGCCAAGATGGCTTCCAGTAAGTCCCTTTCACAGGTTCTGGAGATGAGGATGTAGACAAAGCTTTTGGGGGATTCGACCCACCACGGGGAAAAAAGTGGGCCCGCGAAAGGTGTGGTTCTGCCAGAAACGGAGGGTTGAGCCCACCTCAGGGGTGAAGTGTGGGGAGGCTTCCTGGAGGAGGTGACCTTGGAGAGGAGGGGGGAAGAGTAAGGGTTCCCCAGGTGAGGGACAGTGGTGGAGGCGGTGGGGTGGTGTTCCAGGCAGAGGAACCGGCACGGGCAGAGGTCGAGCGGCTGGAGGGAGCGTGCATGTTCCTCCTGGCTCTGAACTTTCAGGTTTCTCTCAGGCGGTCCAGTTAGGTGTTCCCTTCAGCAGCCCTACTTGTGGCTGCTGGCGTAAGAACGAGTTTGCTGTGCAGGGGCACGAACTGTGTCTGAAGACGGCCATGCTGGCTCTCTCCGGGCTTCTTGGCTGAGCACCTCACAGCTCCTGCATTGTTCTCCATAGAAATGTGGGAGGGCAGTTTGGCCGTGGAGACCAGGTCCAGCTTAGGGACAGGTAGCTGTCCATCCTGGAGAGGCTCAAAAACATTTAACTACGTGAGGCAAGTGGGTCTCAAATGCATCAGGTGAGGTGGGGGTGGGGGGGGTGGCAGGGGGGTTGTCGAGTGGCGCAGATGATTTGGAAAGCAGTTCGTAAGAAATTGCCAAGAGTTGAACACACATCTACCCTGACACCCAGGAATTCCACTCCTCGGTGTGTGTCCAGGAGAAGGAAATGTGGGTCCTCAGAATGACGTATTCTAGAATGCTCAGCTCTTCATTCATAGTAGCTAAACACAAAGAACAGCCCAGATGTCTGGCAACAGGGCACTGGATCAACCAATTGTGATTCTGTCCACACAGTGAAATAGCACTTGGCGAAAATAGGAATAAACTTTACCGATGTGCCCGATAGGGCTGGCCCTCACAAACGTTACCACTGAGTGGAAAGCCAGATAAGAAAATGGATAAAAGCAGAAAAATATTAGAGTGTTTTTTTTCTGGGCACGGGGACAGAAAGTGACTGGGAAGGGACAGGAGGGAACTTCGGGGACGTGGTAACATTTTGTGTCTTGGTCGGGGTTTAGGTTGCACATGTACGTTGCTTATACCCCTTCCAGTGATAGACTGATATACACTTAAGACTGTGCGTTTCACTGTGTGTAAATTTTACGAGAAGGACTGTGAACAATCAGGGTCTAATTAACGATATGCACACCCAAATCTTTAGGGGGAAGTATGCTAATTAATATCCACAACTTGCCTTGAAACGTACCCCCAAGTTTAGATGGATACATGGACGCATGGTAGAGATGTGATAAAATAAGCACAGTGATCTGCTCCTAGTAGAATCTAGGTAGTGGGTACCTGGCGTTCATTGTAAAATTCTTCCAACTTTCCTAGATGTTTGAAAATTTTTCAGTGTTGGAAAAAATTCCAACAGAGCCCTGGAGAGGGAGTCTGGAGAATAAGAATGACCATCATTTCTTGAGCAGTTACCACGTGCCAGGCACTGAGCTGAGTGAGTTATGTGCTTTGTTTAAAGCAAATGCATCACAACCCTCCAGTAAGGTAGATGGTATCATCCCCGTTTCACAGATGGGAAAACAGAGGTTGATGGTGGGCCTCGTGCCACAGAGCAGGTGAGTGGCAGAGTTGGAATTGAAACCAAGTATGCCTGCTTCCTAACCACCATGCTTTATGGCTCTTCACCTGCAACGCATGTGATCTTAGGAAAGTAATTTAAACTCTGAGTTTCTGATGCCTCATTTGTCCAGCTGGTGTGGAGTGGTGGGAACCCCAGATTCACAGACGTAGAGCCAGTGCGGCCTCTAGAATCCACCTGCTTTGCAGCTCTGGTTTCAAGGGAGGGGGCTGGTCACTTGTCAGGTAGAGGCCCTAGGCTGTAGGCAGCCGTGGCCTCTGCAGGTGAGACCCGGAGGGAGTGGTTTCAGCATCCTGGGGGGCGGTTGTGGGCACGCCTGGCCCCATGGTCCTGTTCTGCAGGTCTCCTTGGTCTTCCTGATCAGCGGGCTGGTCATCCTGGGCTATGCCGCCTCCGTCAGTGGCCAGGCCACCTACCAGGGCGTGGTTGGAGGGCTGTGTGGCCCCACCATCAGGAAGCTGTGTGAGGCCTGCTTCATCATCAACCTGCTCATGATCTCCGTGGCCTTCCTCAGGGTGATCGGGGACCAGCTGGAGAAGTGTAAGTACCTGCCCTGGAGTCAGGGGTGACCCCGGGTGTGGAGCTCAGGTCTCCCGAGCTCCTGGTGGATGAGCAGGACGTTGGCTTGGGCCCTTGGCAAGCAGCAGAGGCCGAGACCACTGCCAGCTCCTAACGTCGTGGCGAAGGGAGGTGCAGGGTTAATAATTGCCACCACAGTGAGAGTCAAGGAGCTGGAGGGAGCTGTGCTGGGGATCCAGTGGGGACGCATTCTACGGATGGGGATGTGGCACCAACTGCAAAGACACCGCTGTGAGAGAGAACCAGCAACACCTTGAATTTGGGGATGTCAAAGACTCTCAGCCCTATGCTCCCTTGGCCTCTAGTCCCCCCACTAACAATTTCCCTCTAAGCATTTCTTTGGCTGCGTCTTACCGATTTTGATATGTTCTGATTTCACTTTTATTCCATTCAATCCTTTGCTAATTTTTGCTATGATTTCCTATTTGACTCATGGGATGTTTCGAATTATGTGATTCAATTTCCAACTATTTGGGAGTTTTCTAGTTGCCTTTTTGGTTTTTTTTAAATTTTTTTTATATAGCAGGTCCTTATTAGTCACCAGTTTTATACACATCAGTGAATACATGTCAATCCCAGTCTCCCAATTCATCCCACCACCACCACGCCCCCTACCACTTTCCCCGCTTGGTGTCCATACATTTGTTCTCTTCATCTGTGTCTCAGTTTCTGCTCTGGAAACTGGTTCATGTGTACCATTTTTCTAGGTTCCACCTATATGCGTTAATATATGATATTAGTTTTTCTGACTTACTTCACGCTGTATGACAGACTCTATATCCCTCCACGTCTCTACGTATGACCCAATTTCGTTCCTTTTTATGGCTGAGTAATACTCCATGGTATATATGTGCCACATCTTCTTTATCCATTCGTCTGTCAATGGGCATTTAGGTTCCTTCCATGACCTGGCTACTGTAAATAGTGCTGCAGTGAACATTGGGGTGCATGTGTCTTTTTGAATTATGGTTTTCTCTGGGTATATGCCCAGTAGTGGGGTTTCTGGGTCATATGGTAATTCTACTTTTAGTTTTTTAAGGAACCTCCATAATGTTCTCCATAGTGGCTGTATCAATTTACATTCCCACCAACAGTGCAAGAGGGTTCCCTTTTCTCCACACCCTCTCCAGCATTTGTTGTTTGTAGATTTTCTGATGATGCACATTCTAACTGGTGTGACATGATAACCTTATTGTAGTTTTGATTTGCATTTCTCTAATAATTAGTGATGTTGAGCAGCTTTTTGTGTGCTTCTTGGCCATCTATATGTCTTCTTTGGAGAAATGTCTATTTAGGTCTTCCCATTTTTTGATTGGGTTGTTTGTTTTTTTAATATTGAGCTGCATGAGCTGTTTATATATTTTAGAGATTAATCCTTTGACCATTGATTCGTTTGCAAATATTTTTTCCCATTCTAAGGGTTGTCTTTTCGTCTTGTTTGTAGTTTGTTTTGCAGAAGCTCTTAAGTTTCATTAGGTCCCATTTGTTCATTTTTGTTTTTATTCCCATTACTGTAGGAGGTGGATCAAAAAAGATCTTGCTGTGATTTATGTCGAAGAGTGTTCTTCGTATGTTTTCCTCTAAGAGTTTTACAGTGTCCGTTGTTACATTTAGGTCTTGAATCCATTATGAGTTTATTTTTGTGTATGGTGTTAGGGAGTGTTCTAATTTCGTTCTTTTACACGTAGCTGTCCAGTTTTCTCAGCACCACTTACTGAAAAGACTGTCTTTTCTCCATTGTATATCCTTGCCTCCTTTGTCATAGATTAGTTGACCATAGGTGCCTGGGTTTATCTCTGGGCTTTCTATCCTGTTCCATTGATCTATATTTCTGTTTTTGTGCCAGTACCTGATTCCTCCAGTTCTGCCTTTTTCCCTCAAGACTGCTTTGGCTCTTCGGGGTCTTTTGTGTCTCCATACAAATTTTAAGATTTTTTGTTCTAGTTCTGTAAAAAAAAAAAAAAAAATGCCATTGGTAATTTGATAGGGATTGCATTGAATGTGTAGATTGCTTTGGGTAGTATAGTCATTTTCCCAATATTGATCCTTCCAATCCAAGAACATGGTATATCTCTCCATCTGTTGGTATTATCTTTAATTTCTTTCATCAGTGTCTTATAGTTTTCTGCGTATAGGGTTTTTGTCTCCCTAGGTAGGTTTATTCCTAGGTATTTTACTCTTTTTTTGCAATGGTAAATGGGAATGTTTCCTTAATTTCTCTTTCAGATTTTTCATCATTAGTGTATAGGAATGCAAGAGATTTCTGTGCATTAATTTTGTATCCTACTACTCTACCAAATTCATTGATTAGCTCTAGTAGTTTCCTGGTAGCATCTTTGGGATTCTCTGGGCATAGTATCATGTCATCTGTATAGAGTGACATCTTTACTTCTTTTCCAATTTGAATTCCCTTCATTTATTTTTCTTCTCTGATTGCTGTGGCTAAAACTTCCAAAACTATGTTCAATAATAGTGGTGAGAGTGGACAACCTTGTCTTGTTCCTGATCTTAGAGGAAATGGTTTCAGTTTTTCACCATTGAGAATGATGTTGGCTGTGGGTTTGTCATATATGGCCTTTATTATGTTGAGGTAACTTCCCTCTATACCTACTTTCTGGGGGGTTTCATCATAAATGGGTGTTGAATTTTGTTGAAATGGGTGTTGAATTTTTTCAAAAGCTTTTTCTGCATCTATTGAGATGATCATATGGTTTTTATTCTTTAATTTGTTAATATGGTGTATCACATTGATTGAATTGCATATATTAAGGAATCCTTGCACCCCTGGGATAAATCCCACTTGATCATGGTGTATGATCCTTTTAATGTGTTGTTGGATTCTGTTTGCTAGTATTTTGTTGAGGATTTTTGCAACTATATTCATCAGTGATATTGGTCTGCCATTTTCTTTTTTTGTAGTATCTTTGTCTGGTTTTGGTCTCAGGGTGATGGTGGCCCCATAGAATGAGTTGGGGAGTGTTCCTTCCTCTGCAATTTTTTGCAAGAGTTTGAGAAGGATGGGTGTTAGCTCTTCTCTAAATGTTGGATAGAATTCACCTGTGAAGCCATCTGGTCCTGGAGTTTTGTTTGTTGGAAGATTTTAAATCACAGTTTCAATTTCATTACTTGTGATTGGTCTGTTCATATTTTCTATTTCTTCCTGGTTCAGTCTTGGAAGGTTATACCTTTCTAAGAATTTGTCCCTTTCTTCCAGGTTGTCCATTTTATTGGCATACAGTTGCTTGCAGTTGTCTCTTAGGATGCTTTGTATTTCTGTGGTGTCTGTTGTAACTTCTCCTTTTTCATTTCTAATTTTATTGATTAGAGTCCTCTCCCTCTTTTTCTTGATGAGTCTGGCTAATGGTTTATCAATTTTATCTTCTCAAAGAAGCAGCTTTTAGTTTCATTGATCTTTGCTATTGTTTTCTTTGTTTCTCTTTCATTTATTTCTGCTCTGATCTTTATGATTTCTTTCCTTCTGCTAACTTTGGGTTTTGTTTGTTCTTCTTTCTCTAGTTCCTTTAGGTGTAAGGTTAGATTGTTTATATGAGATTTTTCTTGTTTCTTGAGGTAGGCGTGTATAGCTATAAACTTCCCTCTTAGAACTGCTTTTGCTGCATCCCATTGGTTCTGGATCATCGTGTTTTCATTGTCATTTTTCTCTAGGTATTTTTTGATTTCCTCTGTGATCTCTTGGTTATTTAGTAACATATTGTTTAGCCTCCATGCATTTGTGTTTTTTTACATTTTTTCCCTGTGATTGATTTGTAATCTCATAGCATTGTGGTCAGAAAAGAGGCTTGGTATGATTTCAGTTTTCTTAAATTTACTGAGCCTTTATTTGTGGCCCGAGATGTGATGTGTCCTGGAGATTGTCCCATGTGCACTTGAGAAGAAAGTGTAATCTGCTGTTTTTGGATGGCATGTCCTATAAATACCAATTAAATCTATCTGGTCTGTTGTGTCATTTAAAGCTTGTGTTTCCTTATTAATTTTCTTTTTGGTTGATCTGTCCATTGGTGTAAGTGAGGTGTTAAAGTCCCCCACTATTACTGTGTTACCGTCGATTTCCTCTTTTATAGCTGTTAGCAGTTGCCTTATGTATTGAGGTGCTCCTATGTTGGGTGCATAAATATTTATAATTGTTATATCTTCTTCTTGGATTGATCCCTTGATCATTATGTAGTGTCCTTTCTTGTTCCTTGTAACATTCTTTAAAGTCGATTTTATCTGATATGAATATTGCTACTCCAGCTTTCTTTTGGTTTCTATTTGTGTGGAATATCTTTTTCCATGCCCTTACTTTCAGTCTGAATGTGTCCCTCGGTCCAAAGTGCGTCTCTTGTAGGTAGCATATATATGGGTCTTGTTTTTGTATCCATTCAGCAAGCCTGTGTCTTTTGGTTGGAGCATTTAATCCATTCACGTTTAAGGTAATTATCGATGTATGTTCCTATGACCATTTTCCTAATTGTTTTGGGTTTGTTTTTGTAGGCCCTTTTCTTCTCTTGTGTTTCCCACTTAGAGAAGTTCCTTTAGCATTTGTTGTAGAGCTGGTTTGGTGGTGCTGAATTCTCTTAGCTTTTGCTTGTCTGTAAAGCTTTTGATTTCTCCATCGAATCTGAATGAGATCCTTGCTGGGTAGAGTAATCTTGGTTGTAGGTTCTTCCCTTTCATCACTTTAAGTATATCATGCCGCTCTCTTCTGGCTTTTAGAGTTTCTGCTGAGAAATCAGCTGGTAACCTTATGGGAGTTCCCTTGTATGTTATTTGTTTTTCTTCCCTTGCTGCTTTCAGCAATTTGTCTTTAATTTTTGCCAGTTTGATTACTGTATGTCTCGGCGTGTTTTTCCCTGGGTTTATCCTGTATGGGACTCTCTGCACTTCCTGGACTTGGGTAGCTATTTCCTTTCCCATGTTAGGGAAGTTTTCGACCATAATCTCTTCAAATATCTTCTCAGGTCCTTTCTCTCTCTCTTCTCCTCTGGGACCCCTATAATGCGAATGTTGTTGCGTTGAATGTTGTCCCAGAGGTCTCTTAGGCTGTCTTCATTTCTTTTCATTCTTTTTTCTTTATTCTGTTCCACAGCAGTGAATTCCACCATTCTGTATTCCAGATCACTTATCCGTTCTTCTGCTTCCGTTATTCTGCTGTTGATTCCTTCTAGTGTATTTTTCATTTCAGTTATTGTATTGTTCATCTCTGTTTGTTAATTCTTCTAGGTCTTTGTTAAACATTTCTTGCATCTTCTCGATCTTTGCTTCCATTTTTTTCCCGAGGTCCTGGAGCATCTTCACTATCATTATTCTGAATTCTTTTTCTGGAAGGTTGCCTATCTCCACTTCATTTAGTTGCTTTTCTGGGGTTTTATCTTGTTCCTTCATCTGGCACATAGCCCTCTGCCTTTTCACCTTGTCTGTCTTTCTGTGCACGTTGCCTTTTTGGTTTCTGCCTTAAATGCACCATGGTCAGAGAACACATCTGTATAATTTTGGCATGTGAGCCTTACTCTGTGGCTCAGCATGTGGTCTGTCTTGGTGAGCTCTTAAAGGGTGTGTATTCTGTGGTTCTTTGGTACAGTGTTCTAGAACTCTCCATTAGGTCAAGGTGATCCAGAGCTTTGATCAGATCTTCCATGGCCTTGCAGATTTTTGTGGCAGTGGGGGAGTCTAGTTATTCTGTCAGGTTATGAGAGAGAGAGTGTTAAAATCTCCAATTATGATCACAGATTTGTCTACTTTTCCCCTTAATTCTATGAATTTTTTGCTCATGGTTTTTGAAGCTCTCTTCTTAATAAGCACACACAGTGAATTGCCTTTTTATTATGAAATTTCCTTTTTTTGTCTTTGTAATGTTTTGTGAATATACCTGTGAATATAGCCTCTCCAGTGTCCTTAAGATTAGTGTTTGCACAGAATTTCTTTTCCCACTCTTTTACTGTGAACCTTGGAATTTTAAAATGCACTTCTTGTAGACAGCATATGGTCGGGCCTTGCTTTCTTATCATCTTGACAGTCTTGGGTTTTAATTGGAATATTTAGACTTTTACTTGGAATGTAATAATGATTGATATGGTTGCATCTCGGTCTACCATTTTACTGTTTGTTCTGTCTCTTGAACTGTGAAAAAAGGTCCCTGATGCAGGGATATGGAAATTAAAGGCTCCCACGTTGTGGGAAGCACTCTTATCCTCCACAAAAATTAAAGTTGGTAGATCTGAACCTCCCAGAGTGTAAATTGGCACAGAAATGCCCTGCCTGACAGTGGCAAGTAGAGGTCATGTCAGATTTCAATTCTGGTCAACTGGTGGTGCTGCTCTGCTGAGATGAATTCTGAGGTCCTGCCGCGTTGAGAAGGATTCTGAGGGCCTGACTTATTGGCAAGGATCTGAGGGGCTACCGTGATGGGAAGGTTTTTGATGGGCTGCTTTGTGAGAAGGATTCTAGGGGCTGCCGTGTTGAGAATCTTAGGAGCTGCCTTTTTTGAGGAAGACACTAGGGGCTGCCCTGTTGGGAAGAATCTTAGTGGCTACAGTGTTGAGAAGGATTCTGAGGGCCTGCCATACTGAGAAGCATTCTGAGGGCCTGACTTCTTGGGAAGGATCTGAGGGCCTGTCGTATTGGGAAGGATTCTGATGGGCTGCCACGAGAGAAGGATTCTAGGGGCTGCCGCCTTTAGAAGAATCTTAGGTGCTGCCATGTTGGGAAGGACTCCGAGGGCCTCCGTGCTGAGAAGAATCTTAAGGGCTGCCGTGATTTGGAGGGTTCTCAGGGGCTGCTGTGTTGCGAAGGATTCTGAGGTGATGCCGTGTGAGAAAGATTCTAGTGGCTGCCATGTGGAGAAGAATCTTAGGGGCTCCCCCACTGGGAAGAATCTTAGCAGCTGCAGTGTTGGGAAGGATTCTGAGGGCCTCCATGTTGAGAGGAACCCTAGGGGCTGCTGTCCTTTGGAGGATTCTCAAGGGCTGCTGTGTTGAGAAGGATTCTGAGGGCCTGCAGTGTTCAGAAAGGTTCTGAGGGGCTTCCGTGTTGGGAAGGAGTGTGAGGGGGTCTGTGTCTTGAGAAGGGTTCAATGGGCTGCCACGTAAGAAGGATTCTTCATGCTGAGAAGGGTTCTGAGGGCCTCAGTGTTGAGAAGCAATTAGCGGCTATCGTGTGGAAGAGGATTCTGAGGGGCTGCCATGTTGAAAATGATTTTGAGGGGGTGCCCTGTTGAGAAGAATTTCGGGGGCTGCTGTGTTGAGCATCTGAGGCCGTCAGTGTTGAGAGGAGTCTTAGGGGCTGCCATGTTGAAACAGATTTTGAGGGCTTCCCTGTTGAGAAGGACTCTGAGGGGGTGTCATGTGAGAAGGCTTTTGAGGGCCTCAGTGTTGAGAACATATGGGCCACTGTGTTGGGAAGAATCTTAGCAGCTGCCATGCTGAGGAGGGTTCTGAGGGGCTGCCATGTTTAGAACAATCTTAGGGGCTGTCGTGTCCCTAGGATCCGAGGGGTGCTGTGCTACGAAGGGTTCTGAGGGGCTGCCATTTGCGGAAGGAGGAGGTGCTGCCGTGTTTAGGAGGATTCTGAGCGGCTCCTGCGTTGAGAAGCTTCTGGGCTCAGTTTAGTGGACCACCTGGAGAGAGTATTGATTGGAGGCATGCCACCCCAGCTCTGGGTGGATTCACTGGTGGGAAGAGAGCATCGTTCGCGTGTTTCTGGTTAGATATTTAGGGATATGTCTTTCTGAAGGCAAGTCCAGGTTACTTGGGCTGACGGCTAACTGGAGGTTGGGCTTTTTGGTGGAGTCATTACGTTCATCGGGTACAAGTCACTGTAAACGATGGTGCCGAGGACACCAAGGTATGGTCTGGGAAGTGAGGGCTCAGGAAGGAGCTGGGTAGCCCAGATGGCAGAGGGGTGCTTTCCTGGCTTCAGGAGTCCAGATGGCTAAGAAGGGCTTGCCCCCCGTCCCAGGCCACGTGGGGCCTGGGACTCACGGAGATCTCTCTGCACCTTTGGGTACGTGCATTCCCTTGGCCTCTCTGGCCAGGAGAGCCTGCCTTGCCTCCCTCAGGGGAGGTCTCTGTACCCTGAGCTCCACGTGGAGCTGCCCCGTTGCGTCACTCCAGTAGAAGCAAGCCATTGTGGTCAGGCCGTTGACCTCTTTTCATCGTGTGCTTTACGGAGCACGTGGTGGGAACAGGAAGGGTTATGTTACAGCAGTGCCAGCACCCCCGAGTGGGCCCGGGAACCAGCTCTCGGCACCTCTATCCGCGTGCTTCCGGCCTCAAGCCATCTCGCTGTCTCCCCTTGGGTCTCGCCTCTCCCCCATCTGTCTAGCCTCTTCTATCTGATAACTCCAAATTCTCCGTCTTACTGTGGTGGAATCAAAACGGGTCCAGACTCTTAGGTGTTCCTTCTCTTGAGAGGTTGATGGCGTCTGTGGCCCCTCCCCGTGAATCAGAGCGGGGTCCGTGACGGCGCGGCCTGGCGGAGGAGGGCAGATGGGACACTGCCAGTTCCAGGCCTGGCCTTTAAGAGGACGGCACCTTCCGCCTTGGGCTCGGGAACCCCCAGCTGTCATGGACCAGCCTGCTGGACGGTCTGCAGGGGGGGGCCCCCGCGGAGCCCAGGCATCCCCACCAGGCACCCTGTGTGAGCACAGCCATCGAGGACCCTCCAGCCCCGCCCCCTGCCAAATACCCCCGAGGGACCCCAGCCTATGTGGTGCGGAGCAGAAGCGGCCAGCTCAGCCCCGCCCTAATTCTCCTCTCTAATAACGGGGTTGCCCTGGGCTGCTGTTTGGGGGAAACGTATTCCAGGCCCCGACTTCACCGCACACACCCTTTGAGCCCTTGAGTAAACAAGAAGGATCTTTTACAAACAGGAGGGCCTGGATGCCCCAAGGGCAGACCGTTGTGTCGTTTGCTGCCGATTCCAGCACTTAGAGCAGCGCCTGTCGGGGCGGAAGGAACTCGGTGAAGGTCTGTTGAAAGAATGCCTACAGCGTGTTCCCTCTTTCCTGGTGGCACGTGACAAGGTCCCCATCATGCTTGTCATCCCATCCCTTTAAACTCACGGGGATGACTCAGTGCCCACGGCAAACCCACCCGAGGACCCAGAGCTGGGAACCCCGTGGCCGCGGCTCTTCAGCTGGGGGAGGCCACGCGGGGCTCGCTGCATCTCCTTGCCTCCCTCCCCCTAGTGTGTGACCTGCTCCTGCCCGGCGCCCCGCCAGCCCCGCAGCCCTGGTACACAGACCAGCGCTTCACGCTGACGCTGATTTCCGTGCTGGCCATCCTGCCCCTCTCTGCCCCACGTGAGATCGGCTTCCAGAAATACACAAGGTACAGGCTGCAGCCCCTTCCTGGCAGGGCGATGGCTGGGGCTGGGTCCCCACCTCGGCGGGCACTTGGTGGGTGGTTTCTGTCCGCCTGGGATAGGGGAGCTGCTAGCACGGGTCTTCCCGTTTGCAGAAGGGGAAAAAAATGTTTAATTACACAAGCCATACATGTGCCTGATAGAAAATACAGATAAACAAAAAAGAAAATTACCCGTAATGACAGGACCTGCAGCTGACATTTTGTTACTAAATGATTGCAGACTTTTTCTGCACACACACGCGCATATGCTGGCACGGGGAGAGAGAGACACACACACACACACACACACACACACTTTTTTCCATTTTACAGTCTGAGGCTCTCCATGTACTTTTGCAAAAGTTAAGTCTGGCAAAAGTCTTCACACAAGTGTGCCACCCGCCTTCCCCTGTCGTGTAACGAAATGGAGCAGAGAAAGAGTGGGCAGGACCCCCTTGCCCCCCCGAGGCACCCCCAGCCCTCGCCAGCCGAGTCAGGGTCCTCCTTCCCCCTGTGCTGTGGCCCAGCGGGCAGTGTCCCGACTTAGATGCTGAATCCCAGCAGCTGTTGGTGGGGAGACGGGGGCGCCCGTAGCGATCACAGGCTCGCAGGTCTGACCTTGCTGGGCCTGAGTGCGGCCCTGCCCTGCCTGCCTGGAATGTTCTTCCCGCTGTCCCCATTGTGCAGATAAGGAAATGGAGTCCAGACACTGGCCTGACACCTTGCCTGTGTGGGCAGAGCTGGCATTGAGACCCCGCTCCGTGTGGCTCCCCAGGCCCTACCTCACCGTAGAGGCCGCCTAACGCTGTGCGCCATCCATGTGTTAGCATCCTAGGCACCCTGGCCGCCTGCTACCTGGCCCTGGTCATCGTGGCACAGTACTACCTTGGGCCCCAAGACCTCGCTCGTGAGCCCCGCCTGGCGTCGAGGTGAGTCTTGGGGGATGGCTTCCCGGGGCTGCTGTGAGGGCCAAGGGACGCTTCTCCCCACAACCCCGCCTATGGTTTGCACAGAGCCCTGGCTCGTCCTGTGAAATCCTTCAAGTCTCTGATGCCGTAGAACTCAGCAAAACCTCCTTTCCTGGGACTTCCCTGGCGGTACAGTGGTTAGGGCTGTGCTTCCACTGCAGGGAGCGCGGGTTCAAGCCCTGGTCGGGGAACTAAGATCCCACGTGCCGCACGGTGCAGCCAAAAAAAAGCTCCTTCCCTTCTTCAGAGCGACAACGCTATCACTAGTGAGGACGGTGGCCAGGCTAAGGAACACGGAAGCCCTAGACACCCCAGCAGCCTGGGGCTCTTAGGCTGTTGCAGACGCGTTCCCCACAGCTTAGGGGCCGCAGAACCAGCCAGCAAGATGCAGGTGCAGGGGCAGAGGCCAGTGAGGCCCAACAAGCCTGAGCGAGGCCAAGAGTGGGAGTGGGCCTGGGTGGGGGGTGTCCTCTAGGGATGTGGAGCTGCGGTGCGGACTTCAGTTTTGCACGGAAGCCACTGCAGGGTTTTGATCACAGCAGGGGCTTGAAATCAAATCGGCTGGTGGCAGGCCAGCTCCATGAGCCTGTGATGTCCCCCAGGGTCCCGGGCTAAGAAGGGCCCCACACTTGGTTTAACGCCCTGCTGTCGCCATCCTGAAATGCTTAACCGCTGTTGAACAGGGGCCAGCATGTTCATTTTGCACTGGGTCCCGCGAATCGTGTGGACCCTCCTGGAGGGTAGGTTGGAAGTGGAGTGAGAGAGAGAAGAGAGTCCGGGTGACTCTGAGCTGTGGCGATGCCGTTTCATGGGCTGGATGGGATGGGGAGGGGTCGGGTGGGGATGTGTTAGGTTGGAGATGGCTATGTGACACTAAATAAAGACGTCAGGGAGCTGGTCAGACTGCGTGCCTGGAGTCCAAAGAGGCCTGGGCTGGAGAGTGGAACATCACCCCAGAGATGGCGTGGAAGTAAGGCCAGGAGCCCAGGTGAGAACTGAGCTGGTGGCCCTCCACCAGGCCCTGGGGGATCAGCGAGAGGGATGGCAAGTTAGCAGCACGTGTTAGCTTCTTGGGGCTGCTCGTAGTAACCCATGAGCACAAACCGGGTGGCTGAAAGCAGCAGCAGTCTCTCCCCTGGTTCTGGAAGCTAGAAGTCCAAAATCAAGGCGTGGGCAAGGCTGCGCTCCGTCTGGAGGCTCCGGGGGAGGGTCCTTCCTGCCCCTCCCGGCGTCGGTGTTGCCGGCACTCTTTGGCCTTCCTTGGTCTGCACATGCTTTGCTCCAGACTCGGCCCCCGTGGTCGCACGGCCTCTGCCCTGTGTGTTTCCTCTTCCTATAAGGACACCAGTTGTTGGGTTAACTCCCAGACTATTTCAGTATGACCTCATCTTCCTTTAACCAATTGCATCTACAAAGACCCTTTTTCCAAATAAGATTTCATTCTGAGGTTCCCAGTAGCTATAAATCTAGGGGGGCACTGTACAACCCAGGCCAGAGGATAATAGAATCTGGGTCTCAGAAGTCAGCAAAATTTCAAGAAGGTTGGGGTGATCGCCACCAGATGCCGCTTCTGGGTCACATGGGGCTGAGCCCTGGCGCCTGATTTGGCCGTGGAGGCCGCTCTTGATGTGGCTGAGTTTCATCAGGGCAGGAGGCGGGGTTGAGGGCCCAGGTGGATTGGGTTCAGGAGAGGGGAAAGGGAAAAGCCAGGAAAGAGCTCTTCTGAAGAGGGGAGAAAAGGAACGTGCCGGGGCACAGAGGCCATGGCCCGTGTGGCCCACGGCACACCGACGGCATGATCCAGCAGTGGAGGAAACCCGATCAGGAGAGGGCCAGATCCACTGCTCATCTGTGGCCTTGAGTCTGCGGAGGGGAGGGTCCTGTTCTCTGGAAATGCAGCCTCCAAGGCTGGAGCTCGGGCAGTCTCACCCATGGGAACAGGAGAGGAGGGCACGTGAGGCCCAGAGGACGCGGGCAGGCAGATGGAGCCGTGGGAGCGTGGGCGCTAAGAAGCTGGCCATCGGCTGACAGTGCTGTTGAGGAACGTCCAGGGCTTGGCGGGGAGGCTCCGTGATCTGCACCCAGAGTTAAGAGGCGGCCGGAGCGCAGCGCAGAAGGGGAGATACCACCGTGTGACTCCCCGTGGCTGCTGTGACACGTTCCTACCAAACTTGGTGACTTAAAACTACACAAATATATTCTCTTACAGTTCTGATATCAGAAGTCCAGAATAGGGCTAAAATCAACATGTCGGCAGGGCTGTGTTCCTTTTGGAAGCTCTAGATTGGAATCCGTTTCCAGCTCCTAGAAGCACCCACATTCCTTGGCTTGGGGCCCCTTCCTCCATCTTCAGAGTCAGCAAGGTTCCATCTCTCTGACCCTGCTTCTCTGGTCACAGCTCCCTCTGACCATAGCTGGGGAAGGTTCTCTGACTGCAAGGATCCTTGGGCTACATTGGGCCGAGATCCTCCAGGGTCATCTTGTGTCGTGTAAGGTTCCCAGGGTTAGGACATGGATCTCTTTGGGGCCCACTCTTTTACCACGACCAGGAAACCCCGATTCTATAGCGGGTGCTGTATATGCTCCCTCCACTACGTGTCCCTAAAGGTGCTGGAGGCTGGTACCTAGAGATGCTTAAAGGAAGCTGGAGGGCCACCATGTGGGGACCACTTAGAGGGCTTGACCTGAAGATTCTGCCCCATGCACACCTCAGTTCTCTTGGGCAGCTTGGACAGAGGTCAAACCATCCTTGCCCTGTTGGGGTCTGTTTGATGGATGCTGCCTGTGCCCCCAACCACCCCAGCCCCTAAGCTCATTGGGCACAGGCAGCCTCCAAGGGAGGCTGGGATTTCCTCCTAGCCACGCCCTGCCCAAGTTGTGCCTGCAGGGAGAATGTCGTTACCATATGTCAGCACAGATGTACTTAGTGCAGCATTTAACATGCAGCCTTTTCCAACCCCCCAAACCTGGCAGTGGACATGGTTTTTAAAACCTGTCTTACAGTCACGCTTAGTTACATCTTGCTGGTGTTGTTGAAAACTCATTTTCGAGTTGAAGGTTGTTTTGAGTTTGACTTTTCGTAACAAACACCCGTTTTCATCTCTTTACAGTCCTTCCTCCTGGGCCTCCGTGTTTAGTGTTTTTCCCACCATCTGCTTCGGATTTCAGGTAACTTTGGCGTCCGTGTTGCAGAGGGTGGCATTTGCAGTCTCTGGGGACCGCCTGCTCCCTCAGGAGAGCGGAGATGGGCTGTCTTTGGGAGACGGTGCACGTGGCCGGCATCTGGGCTCAGCTGGGAACCGGCCCCGCCGACAGCCAGCAGCAGCACGTTTGTTTGTTGGGTCTGGGGTCGAGTGTGTGGGCCCGGGACCTGTCCCCTCCTTTGCGAAGTCTTCACGGCCGAGTCGCCACGCCTGGGGACCTGGAGCGGCCTGCTTACGTAGAACGCCTTCCTGCAGGTGGCTTCTGCCGCGGTGGCCTGGAGGCTTGCCGGCTAGGAGGGCGGGAAGGTGCGTGGGGAGCTGGCGGTACTGGGCAGAATATATAGACTTTGGTAGAATGGCGTGGAGTAGGGAGTTCCGTGCGTGGAATCCAGTGGAGGGGCTTCCCCCGCAGCGCTGGGTGGGGCAGATTCAGAGATGCCCTTTTCTAGGGGCTGACGCCTGGGAGGAGTTTTGAGCAATGTGTGGGAGGTGGCCAGCTAGAAGGGGAGGGCGCTTCAGCTGGAGAGCCCTGGAGGAGGCGGGGTCCCAGGCTGGAGAGCTGCAAGGGGCGGGGCTGGAGGGGCGGGGCTGGCGTTGGGCTTTGCTCCCCGCCCTCTGGGCTTTCCTGGGGTCTCGCAGTCTCCTAGCAGGCGGCAGCTGACTCCCTTGCTCCATTGTTTATTTTAGGAAAGATTTGCCTCTCTCCTAAAAACAACCACCACCACCCCCACCGTGACAACAACAAAACCGCCCCCAGTGAAATCCAGTTCTCGAGGGGAAAGTGGCTCGGGGTTGACAGTGTCTCATCTTCGTAGCCTGAGCGGCTTCTTGCTGTGCTCACCAACCAGCTCCTCTTTGTGTTCGTCAGCTTATGTTTTCTTTGAGAACCACTTTTTGGGGAAAAGAAAAGTCCTGAAACATTTCCGTTGCCCTTTTTTATAAATGAGTCGCTGTAGCGTTTCTGGGGCTTAGCCAGCCGCTTACAGAATTTCTCACGTTTCTTCCTGCACACCCAATATTTTGAAAGATGGAAGGCGACGATTTTGCTGTCAACCGTTCGGATGTCGTTTAACCAGTCCTCTCTCCATATGGTGTAGCAGACTCGCGCCGGGCAGGGGGTGCGGGGTGCTTTCCAGATGCTTGTGAGGAGATGCCTCCCCTCACCTTTGCCTCGGCTGTCTCATCCCATTCTCCTAGCAACCGAGGCCTGGGCTGCCGTTTCCAGGGACACGGGATGCGGAGATGGGGGAGTTGGGAAAGGATGTGGATTGCAGGGCGGGGGTGGGGCAGAGGACTAGTTGCCGAGGCCGGGGATAGGGTTGCCAGGATCCAGGTTGGGGAGTCAGGGATCTGGGGGTGGGGGAACTAGACGCAGGCGAAGGTGGAGGGAGCCGGGTGAGGAGTGGCGCTGGGCTGGAGGGGCTGCTGTGCGGGGGAAGGCGTGGGCGGTCACCTGGCGTCATCGGGAGGTCGGGTTCAAACACACAGCTCCCCACACACTTAGCAGCGGGGCACCCCGTCCAGCCTGCGCAGAGTCGGAAGGAGGGGCCTGGGGGAGCACGGGTTGTGGGTGCAGGCTCTGCTCCCAGACACCCTGGCCACACGCGGTACTCCTCCCTTGTTTGCGTTTTTTTAATTGAAGTGTGACTGATTTACAATACCGTGTTACTTTCAGGTGTACAGCACAGCAATTCAGGCATATGTAGCTGAATATATATGCATATTCGTTTTTAGGTTGTTTTTCCTTTAGAGGTTATTACAAAATATTGAGTATAGTTCCCTGTGTTGGTCCCTGAGGTCCTTGTTGGTTATCTGTTTTATCAGTAGTAGTGTGTATATGTTAATTCCAAACTCCTAATTTATCCCTCCCCCATCCCCCTTTCCCCTTTGGTGACCGTAAGTTCATTTTCTATGTTTGTGAGTCTTTTTCTGTTTTGGAAATAAGCTCATTTGTATCTTTTTTTTTTTTTTTTTTTTTTAGATGCCACATATAAATGGTGTCATGATATTTGTCTTTCTTTGGCTTACTTCATTTAGTATGATAATCTCTAGGTCCATCCATGTTGCTGCAAATGGCATTATTTCATTCCTTTGTATGGCTGAGTAATATTCCATTGTATATATGGACCACGTCTTCTTTATCCGTTCATCTGTCAGTGGACATTTAGGTTGCTTCCATGTCTTGGCTATTGTAAATAGTGCTGTAATGAACATTGGGGTGCGTGTATCTTTTCGAATTATGGTTTTCTCCAGATATATGCCCAGGAGTGGGATTGTAGAATCATATGGTAGTTCTGTTCTTAGTTTTTTTTTTTTTTTTTTTTTTTTTTTTGTTACGCGGG